CATATTTCTGCCCTCACAGCATGTCCTATTAGCATATTAGGAATGTATCAAATGCTTATATTTATTATTCATGGGGTGATGTTCCAAATATAAGATGGGATGTGACTGTGGAGTTCGTATTAGGCGCTCCTTTCGAGGAGCAGATTCTTATTCGTTTCCACCGGTATTTCCTACTCTATCTATTATTTTCAAAGGTGTACTTTGTCGATCTGGTATAGGGTTTTGCCCACCTGAACTTAAAATCCATGTAGCTCAAGCGAAGGAGCATTAAAGAAGAGGTGAAATAGATCTTTCTCGTGACTTAAATATATGGGGCCCGGCCCCTTCTGATGAAGTCAAGATTTGGTAGAGACTTGAGAGTGCTTCCCAAAAAGCATCCATTCGAAAAATTGAATCATGTATCAATGTATGGAGTCTAATTAAAGCTGCATTTGGTGGTGATGATGTGCATTTTGGAAGCTCCCGTTTGGCAGGTGAGTCGGATGACTAGCTGAATAATCCCTATATTGAATGTGGCTTGGATATCTAACTAATGGTTCCTATCTAGAAGGTGGCTTGCACGCCCAATTGAATAGTGACGAGTTGAAGAGGTGTTTCTGATGCTTAACTGAGTAGTGACAAACTGTAGAGGCGACTCTGATGCCTAATTGAGTAGTGACGAGATAGAGAGGTGGCTCTGATGTGACCTACAAGGAAATAGTGTTAGAGTGCCCGGGTTGTTTTACCCGGGGTGGGTACTCCGATACTTAAGTTAGGGAATCAAAGATTTTCAGATAGCTAAATGTGAGACATCTGGAGAGCTGCGAGAACTAAATTGTGCATCTACCTGTGTCCTAGGGGCTGACGCCCTTATATAGTTGGGATGCCGTGGGTCTCGTGAAACGCTCCCGAAATCCTCGACCCACGACGTAGTGGTCCGTTCCCCTTTGGAAGGACGATAACGTGCTAATTAATAAGGTTTACTGTTTCCCTCCGATTCGGGTAGGATGAGGATAAGGCCTACAGTTACGCAGCGTGATCCTGAAAGGTTCATAGACAACTGGCAAGCTTCTAGAGAGGTAGGTCGCCAGGTCAGCAACAAAGGCAGATCGCCAGGTTGGCGACAGAGCCAGGTCGCCAAGTCAGCAACAGAGGCAGGTCGCCAGGTCGACGACAGAAGTAGGTCACCAGGTCGGCGGCAGAGGCAAGTCGCTAGATAGGACCCCATTTTGGCTAAGGCAAGTTTCGCCTAGGTGATGTTAGGATGTAGTCCAGTTGTTCTAATATGCCATGTGTCATAATGTCAATGGAAGGCCAAATCTACCCTCATCAATTGCCCCCCACTCCCGTGCTGAGGTTAGCTTAGCGAAGGGAGTAGATTCGTGCTACGTCGTAGGTCCTTTGACCTGTTACCAACATATTTCAAGGTCGGCTTAGGGTCCTTGATGCTGAAAACGAGATTTGGCTTCCCCTTGCGGTATGTGCGTCAATGTTGGAATTTAAATAGCAATTCGGTGTCACAATTGCAATGTGTTAGTCCTCTAAGGTGTTGGTCGTCTACTCTTACGATAAGCCACAAGGAGCTCAACCTGCAGGGGCATCTTTACTAACTGCAAGGTGCCAACTCACATGGGAACCTTGAAAGGCTCAACCAACAAGGGCTACTCCTGGCTGATTACGCGAACAGGGCTGACAAGGCTCGTCCGGGCTGATTACGTGTGTTGCTAGGTCGGTGGAGGTAGGTCACCAATTCGGAGGCAGCTCTCCAGGTCGTCGGAACTTTGACAGTCTAGTTTTTCACTCAGCACCTCGGCTACAAACACCTCGTCACCTCGATAGGACTGACCTACGAGGGTGCCTCCACAACCTGATGGCCATCAACTCCCACGTAAAGCATGGATGGCTCGATCTGCGGCGCGACCTCACAGTTTATTGGCTATCAACTCTCACGAGAACCACAAAGGGCTCGACCTGTGGCGTGGCATTACATTCTGTTGGCCGTCAACTCTCATAGAGAGCACGTAGAGCTCAACATATGGGGGTGGCCTCACAGTTAGGGAGATTCTGTTTGGGCAAGACTGCGAGAATTCGTTTGGGCTAACCATTTTGCTTCTACCCCCTAGGGGGTTCTTTTGATCGAGCGTTGTTGTTGTTGCTTGAAGATGTTATTACTTGAGGCTTGGAGAATCGGGTGATAACATAGCCTTTTGTAGCGTTTCCCATAGATGGCGCCTATTGATGATGCTCATTTTGGCAGCTCCCGGCTATAAGGTGAATCGGATGCTTGGCTGAATAATCCCTACCTGGAATGTGGATTGGGCGTCGAGTTGAATGGTGACGAGTTGGAGAGGTGGCTCTGATGCCTAACTGAGTGGTGACAAGTTGGAGAGGTGGCTCTAATGCGACGTACAAGGAAACAGTGTCAGAGTGTCAGGGTTGCTTTACCCGGGGTGGGCACTCCGATGCTTAAGTTAGCGAATCAGAGATTTTAAGATAGCTAAATGTGAGGTATCTGGAGAGTTGCGAAAACTAAATTGCACATCTACCTGGGTCTCAGGGGCTGACGCCCTTATATAGTTGGGCTGTCGTGGGTCTCGCGAAACGCTCCCGGAATCCTCGGCCCATGACGTAGGGATACATTTCGCTTTGGAAGGAGGATAATGTACCAGTTAATAAGGCTTATCATTTCCCTCCAATTCGGGTGGGATGAGGATAAGGCCTACAGTTACGCGACGTGATCCCAAAAGGTGTGGAGACAATTGGCAAGCTTCTAGAGAGGTAGGTTGCCAGGTCAGCAACAAAGGCAGATCGCTAGGTCGCCAGGTCGGTGACAAAGGCAGGTTGTCAAGTCGGCAGCAAAACAGGTCACCTGTTTGGCAACAAAAGTAAGTCTCCAAGTCGGCGGCAGAGACAGGTTGCCAGCTGAGACCCCATTTTGGCTAAGGCAAGTTGTCGCCTAGGTGATGCTGGGATGTAGTCCAACTATTCTGATATGTCATGTGTCATAATGTCAGTGGACGGCCAAATCTGCCCTCATCAGGTGGGGCTTAAAATAAGCACTTTTTGGCACTTGTTTCGTTTTAGAAGCTAAAAGCACTTGGTAAAGAAGCAGTTAACGGGCCTTTTCCACCGAAAAAAAGTCCATTAGAAAAAGCATACTCTATAGAGAAAAACACTTTGCCCCATCTTATTTTCCATTCTTCCCTTTCTATTCTCAACTCTATCAGTCTGTAACACAAGCTAAAAGCAAGTATAATATTCCACTAGTTTTCATTTTTTTTTTTGTTATAATATTGAATCAAAGGCTTTTTGACTAATCCATTTTATATGTTTTTTTTTCATTTTCTTCTTCTCAATAGTTGTATTATTGAAGAAATGCATCTAGTACTGCTTTTTGTCACTTAATAGGTGTGAATCATTTCTTCCTTCATTTAATTCAAGCAACTAATGGGCTTTAAACTGGTGTGTATGCCATTTTATATGTTTCCATTTTAGAACCATGCAATATTTTCAAATGAGCGCTTCTTCATTGAAAAACAAAAAGTCGGAAAAAGCATATTACGAAGCAGTTTTTAAGTGCTTTTTTAGAAGCATTTATCAGAAAAACGCTTCTAAAAATAAAATAAAAAGCACTTCTAAAAAAACCCATGTAGAGACAAGCAACCCCACCGAACGCAGCCTAAAGATTTAAGATTCCACTCCTTGAAGGATGGGCATTTCAAAGGACCCAAACACGCTGACTTGACTGAGTAGGAAGTGAAGTGTCTACGTGCTTCCAACCCACTTTATCTTTAGGAAGTGAAGTGTCTACGTGAACATAATTGATGTGGGCCACTTCAATGCACTGTTTTCAAAATCGGACCGGATCGGACGGTCGGACCGGAAAAACCGGGAATCAGTCATCCATTTTACTCTAAAACCGTTTTTTTCCCCTAAAACCATTGATTTTGTACAGCAAACCACTGAATCGGCCGGTTAACCGTTAGAACGGTTTTGACCATTTTACAATTTTTTAAATCTTTTTTTTTGTCAAAACGGGCCGGCCATTCCGATCGAACGATCAGACCGTTCAAACCGGTAACCAGACCCCTTACCGGTTCGGTCACCGGTTCGTTTTTAAAAACCATGCTTCAATGCATTCAAAAATATTTTCAACAAGGTATCTCCGACAGTTTCCTTGTAAATAAAGAGTCACTCACTTTGAGGGCTTCCATATTTAATGCTATGTTTGGCTTTCCAGAATTCCTTCAGCTATCGATGGTAACCAAATATTTATCTTAACACTATCGTGTATCTTTAATTAGTATTTGGTTCCACCAATAGGATGTGTCATTTCCTTTAAAAGTCGCCACAACTACTTCGAACCATAAGAGTCGTTTTGTGTGTCGTGCTTTCAAATGAATTTCCTGGCTGATGTCTCCAGCAATTCAGTGATCTTCCCAAAGGAAAAAAAAAAAAACAAAAACAAAAATCACTGTGCTCATTTGACATGTTGCCATGGTCTGTATATAACTAACCAATGTAACAAGTCTATGACAGCCAGATTTACAGAGCAATTAATTAAGCACGCCAACTCTCCATTGCCATCTTAATTTTATCTATTACTTCTTGAATTGCCTCGTCTTTCCCTAAATAATCCTTTGGGTTCACCAATTTCATGACAAGAACATGCTGTAAACACCTTTGGTGCCTTCTAGGCGCATTAGTACTAAAGAAAAAACTAGAGTTTTGCTAATTGACTTCTTAATTGACTAGACCATCTTTCAAATTGCTCCAAAACTTCCTTCGGCTTTCACACTTGATTAATTCATTCCTGCTCATCGTTAGAAGATGAAACAATCATCTGTAAATACACAAATGTTCGATGATAATACAGATGGTTGGAGTGTCATCTTGTAAGTTGGAGATGGTTCGATTAAGTTTCTTCATCGTTATCATCCGCAAGATGGTTATCTCTATGTTAATAACTTCTGGTTGTGGTAGGTTTTTTCTCTTTAAATCATTTAAATTCAGCAAAGAAATTATGGTAAAGCACCAACATAATATTTAAACAAACATAGAACATATTGAAGCAACAATTCATCCTCAGGCTGTCTTAGTTAAGAACACAATAAAGCGTCATAAACACATATGACTATACAGTCATAGAAGATATTACTCCGGTTCACCATAAAAACTTTTACCTTGGTTATCAGTTCTTATTGCTGAATTCCTGCTGCATTCTAGTTAGTGCCTTCTCAAATTGGCTCCACCTCTGGTCAAGAGTTCCACTATAGCCAATGGACATCCTTACTAACCCAGGCGATATGCCGGCCAACTCCTTCTCCTCAGCATTCATCTCACTGCTGGTACTACTACCAGAACATGACATGAGAGTCTCGTAGTAACCCAAACTCACTGCCATCAACCCGAACTGGGTATAATTCTGCAAGTGGTGCATCAGCCGGTTGGCTTTCTCCTCCGTCTCCATGTCCACGCATAAAATACCACCAAACCCGTATTCACTGTTTGCCATTGACTTCAGAAGAGAATGCTGAGGATGCTCTTCGAGGCCAGGGTATATAACCTTCAGGCCCAATTTCTTCATCCTTTTAGCATACTCTAATGCTCGACGACAGTGCTCCTTCATTCTGAGGCCTAGATGAGGAATCCTTTCTGACAGCTCAAATGCAACCTTAGCATTCATTGTTGGGCCCAGAAGCATTAGGGCACCTTGATGAAGGTCCATCATCGAGTTTATTAGGCTTTCCGGCCCACATACCGCACCTATCAACAAAATCACACAATCATGATTTTACATGATCAGACTATAGAGTGGAAGCAAGTTTTGGCTTCATCATTCATACCATGAATAAACACGAAACATCAATTGCTTGAAATGTATGTAGATAAGCTGGTTGTGATACTGAATTTAAATCCATGGGCTGCTCATAATTCGTGGCTCAGTCCATATGCGAGCCCTCGGGAATAAATTGAAGTTTAGAACTTATTGACAAGTAATGAATGGGCTCAATGCAGACCATTGTGTCCACCTAGTTCATTGACAATTGACATGTAATGAAATTTGCCTTCGGGCTTTTGAAAAAAAATGCAGCCGTTCAGCGGAAATATGTAAGATTTCATCCGCACGTCTCAAGTATAACAAAAAATAAAGAAATAAGAAATTAATCTTTGTATACAAAAGCAACTTAGGCCATATTTGGATTGTTTATGTTAAAAATAAGTGCTTACTCGAAGAAGCATTATTTTGCATTTGGCACCAAACTTTTTCAAGTGCTTATTTTAAAAAATAAGCACTTATTTTATATCAGGTGTTTAGTAGTCTTTTCTCCAATAAAAGTACTTCTACCAAAGTACTTCTGTAAAAGTCCTTCTATCAAAGTACTTCTGTAAAAATAATTTCATAAAAGTACTTTCATAAAACTGCTTTCACAAAAGTATTTTCGTAAAAATATTTTACTTTCATAAAAGTACTTTTCTAAAAGTGCCTTTATAAAATTGTTTTTCTAAAAGAGTATAATTGGTATTCTAAAAATTCACCAGGGACAATTATGTTAAAAAAAATTGAAGTACTTATTGTATGAACATTTGAAAAAAGTTGAAAATTTGGGCTTAAAAAATAATCTCTTATTTTTAAATATGTACTTATTTTATTCTTATTTCCCAAACACCAATAAATGTTTAATGATGTAATCGATGATCTCCGCACAAATAAACACTTATTTCCAATAAGCACTTATTTTTAAACACTCCCAAACATGACCTTAATACTTAGGAAATATGTGAGAGCAATAGAATTTAAGATATGCGGATATGCTTAATTTTTGTAGCATTCCACAAAATTTCTGAAAGTGAAATTTTGGAAGAAAGATGAACCAATTTAGGTCAGTATCCAGCCACTCTTCCGAAGAACCTCGATAGTTAAAGGCACCTATTATTTTATATTCTATAATGTATAACATAAATCCCATACGTATATTATATGTTATTTAATATAAATTGTTATCTATTTGTTATTTTCATATTTATTTATACAGGTCTATATAGGTCGGGGCCTGAGTTTATATTTCCGGCGTGGTGTCTAGGGCCAGGGCCATGTCCGAGTTATAGCCTTAAGTGCTAAGCCCGGCCCGTCATCCGCTTTAGGAAAGCTGTTATATGCTCAAATATGATATTGTGTTAAATGTAAAAAATAATTTCAGTTGTTTTTTTTTATTTTACAGCATATAAACTTTTCTGTCACAGATCTTGTAGATTTCATAGAATACGGAGCATTTAGATTTCTGAAAAGATTCTCTTTTTCTTGGGTGGAGGGTAAGATTCTGGGAAGATTCTCACAGCAAAAGAAAAAAGAAGCTAATTTTATTATCACTATTAATGTATAAAAGGGCTAAATCATTTATAAAAAAAAAAAAAAAAACGTATAAAAAGGCTAAAGGAATAATTTCGGTAGCCAGCTATGTACGCAGCGTTGTTCTTATATATGTATATCTGAGATTTATAGGCTATTGTCTTAGATAAATTTTGTTAAAGACACTACCTTCAACTATTTGTTTATCTATTTTTTTATCAAGCAAATACAGCCAAAAATAATTCCAATTATAAAGCCCAAAGGAGAACATTCAAAGCTACATGCTTGGTTGCGGAAATATGTATTATTGGACAAGCCTTTTTCAGTGGCAGCTTTTTTTTTTTTCTCTTTTCCTTTGTCTTTTATGCTGGACATAAAGGGACTACAAGGACTATTGTACAAATGAGTACTATAATTCAAACATTAGTAAACCTTTTTTATCTAATTAATGATAAAAATAAAGCATGGCTTAAATATAAAGACGAGGATAAAACTAGTTGTTTACTAAACTAAGTACCAATAAAAAAGGACTCATTGTTTAATAGCATACTCAAATTCTACATTGTAGAAGATAAAAAAGAAAAGATGAGAATAACAAAAAAAAGAAAAACGTTTTGATATGATTTTTTGGTTTGTGGCAAGTTTCAAAATATCGATACATATCGTATCATGAGCTTCTTGATACACTCTTACAAAAAGTGTATTGGAGTTTTGACCGGCTCAGGGGTGGGCAAACCTTAAACCGGTCTGTCTTAACCACATTTGAAAAAAAAAAAACTATCCCTGATATGCCTCTACTAGGGACGTATCAATATTTTGAACTTTGGTGTGTGAGATGAAAAGGAAAAAATTAAATATTCTTGAATATTTTTCCCTATCATATTTGATACGCAGGACATCACAGAATGGGCAATGGAAAAGGATGGAAAAACTTGATTAAGAGAAAGAATTTCTCGTTGTAGAGTTGTAATATTTTTAATAGTTAATATTAGACTTATGAATCATTAATAAATTATTAATTAGTTATTCTTAATTAAAATAAATAATTAATAAAATATTTATCAATTAGAAATAATTTAATAGGTAATTATTAATTAATGATTAAATAATGATTTTATTTATAATTCATTGGGCATTGATAAAATAAAATATAAAGTAATAAAATTAAAATATTAAATGTTAATTAATTAAAAATTCTCAGGAATACAAAACACCAACTATTAAATTAATTCCTAATAAAGTATTAATTATTAATTAATTATACTATAAATGAATAATAAAATACAAAATAATTAAAACAATTAGTAACTGCATAATTTATTAATTAATAATTATTATCAGAGTTGATTTTCCCACTATTGTCCTTTTTGCAACGAAAAAATGAAACTTGAAAAAATTTATATCCATTAACTAAACCCATGTGCGTAAATCTGGCCTTCGTTGAATATGAAATATGGATCGTTCATTTGATAGACTCATAGACATGGTATTTGTTGGAATTGGACGGGGCACTTCCTACCTACCCACTCGGCCGCCCCATGTAAAAGAAGACAAGATCTATACCACACATCAATAGGCTTATAGATATTGGTGGCATCTATACCTACCCACTGGGCCAAGCAAGAAAACAAGTAATCTGGCCTACGGATAATATAGCCATCGTTTTTTTGGTGGCATTATACCAGTTCCACTTGTACTCTCTCTCTCTCTCTAACTCTTGATTGGTGAGTTGGATAACATAACCTGTCTACCACCTTTACTGCCAGACTCACGGTAACAAAAAAGCTACCGAGTTTCGAGTTGGTTAACATAACCTCTCTCTCTCTCTCTCTCTCTCTCGGCACCATCCTATCAAATGATCGATTTCTTTTTCTTCCTTAAGTCTCGGGATGAATAATAAGTAATAACAACCACCCGCAAAAACCAAATGACGTGGAAAGTAAGGAATCATCACCACATCACATCGTACGCGTCCACATATTGTGGAACAATACTGACACATGAACACGTGTTCGCTTTGTGAGTCGAGGACGTGAATCATCACCTCACCGTCATCATCGTAAAGGACACGACCATCATCTAACTCACATGACACATGATAGAAAGCAAACAAATTTTCATATATCACTGTCGAGTGCGATGGTCCTGCCTCCACGTCAGCTATTCCCTTTCTACCATCCTTATCCTATAATCTATATTTTAAGGGACACGAGATGGGACGGAAGAGGTTTATGAATATCGTGGAGTGAGACTGTTCTCTGCAATTATCCTATTAGGATCGGATCTGTTTATGTTTGATGGATGGACAAAGGATGCGGATCTGAATTGGGTTTCCTTGATCCTATCCAAGGCAGATGCTGCATTTGAGTCCTTCCTGGTCGGGACTTGGGAACGTACGTTTCACTGTACCATACATATTAGTAATAGAGAATGAATGAATGAATGAAAAGGATACGTACCTGCAATTATGTCGGCCCCACCACTGATATACTTGGAAATACTGTGAACCACCACATCCGCACCGAGGCGAACCGGAGATACCACCATCGGGGCGAAGGTGTTATCCACCACCACCTTTACCCCCTTCTCATGCGCTATCCTGCTCAGCTCCGGTACGTTAGCCACCGTCAATGTAGGGTTCGACATCGATTCCACGTAGAGTACTTTGGTCTTCCCCTCCACCATGGCATCCTTCACCATCTCAAGGTCTATGACGTCCACGAATGTCGTCGTTATGTTACATGCTCTGGGCAAAAAGTGGGTGAGCAGGGCGTGGGTCCCCCCGTACAAGCACCGGGACGCCACCACGTGATCACCACTGCCGCACAACTGCATCAGCACCGTAGAGATAGCGGACATGCCGCTGGCAGTGCAGTAGGCGGCCTCTGTCCCCTCCAACGCAGCCATCTGACGGCCCAGATTCAGGACCGTAGGGTTGAAGTGACGGCTGTAGATGAAGAAATCTTGATCGGGGCCCAGCTCCCCAGTGAACATTCTGCGCATCGTCTCCGGCTCCATAACCGTGAACGTGGCGGATGCCTCGATGGACATATTGACACCACCATGCTCGCCGAACTCGTGCCTCGCACCAGCAAGGGAAGCCGCCGGGTCGTTGCACGCCACCACTGACTTCTTTGCTACGACGAAATCGTCATTCTCGAAGTCATCCTTTCCGTTTCTCTTCTTGCCAATCAAGGAAACATCTAGGCATCTCGATTCGGCCATGCTGTCGGAGACTGAAGGGAGGAGAACAACTTGTAAATGTAGAGAGAGAGAGAGAGAGAGAGAGAGAGGGGAGAGGGAGGGAATGGCTAATGACTTATGACGAGGGGTTTGGGTTTAGGGGGTTAAATATTCCCAAGGAGGATCCATTTTGGAATCTTTTGATGGCTGGGGGATAAGAGCTCGTGGCGTCTCCTCAAGTTTTGTATTGTAGTAGATTCATTGAACCTGGGCATATTTTATTCAGGAGAGAGGGAGGAAAATATAATATGAAACCATAAAAGAAAAGCATGTATACACACGCAACGATCGCATGACACGTGTTAAACATGCATTAGACAGAGAATTGCAGTTGGTCTGATCAATGGAACCATAAATATTTAAATTCTGCATGTGTGCAACGTGTCGGTAGATTTAGATTCTCAGAATAAAGACGGGGCGAGATAAGAGGAGCAAATATCATGAATCGTATCACGAAGCCGAAGGCTGAGCGATATGGTATAGAGCGTAAAGCGACCTCTCTCACCTGTTATTGGACTACCATTCTTCTTCCCCGGTGTCGTCTTCCATCCGAAGTTTATTCCACTGCACAGAGCACATGCTGGCTGGGAGAAAGACGTTGCCAAATTTCTTTTTTTTTTTTTTTAAGGATTTTGGAAATTAAAGACGTTACGTTAGCAAACGAACCCCTCCTTTCCCAGCAAAGCTTTGTCAGTGTAGGGAAGGTCAGGTTAGGAATATTGAATGATAAATGGGTTATAGTTATACACGACCAAGTAGTTGGGAAATTAATGTACAGAGTGTAGAAAGTTGTCGTCATCATCATAAATGTCTACGTGGATGTTAGGCGGAATTGTTGAATAGAAAGAATCAGGAGGACTCCAAACTCCTAGTAATTCCGTTACATTTCCAAATTAAATGAATGGCCATGGTCCATAGATGGATTCAATTTCCACATTTCCGCCAGCATGTTTTTTTTGTGAAAGTTTCGAAGAAGATAGATAAATTGATAATGCACCGAGATCTCAGATATTCAGAGTTAAGAATCAAGAATAGTTCAACCTTATATTCTTATCCTAAACCTAAACTCTTCTTTTGTTACCAAAGGATTCCGGTAGGCCTGTGAAACTCTGTAATGGAGCACGTGGCTATTTCGCTCCATTAATCTCAGCCCAATCCACTTACCATTTTCAACAGGCACGCTTCCCTTTCAGTAAAAAAAAAGATTGGCCGATCTGCGATTTATAAGTTATAACCTTGTTTTTGGCTCATCCTCTGAATCTTAGCATCCAAATTCATATGGAAACAGAGACTCGTTAGGAATATTTGTGTGCAACATATTGAATGCTAAGGATCAATCAGGGCAACCAGGTGAGCAGGATTCCATCCTTTCCAATAGAGTATTATCATATTAGTTTTGTGCCTTGCGGTTTATCTTAGGGGGCTTAATTTAATTTAATGGCATTAATGAGGAAGATCACAGAAATTCATGGAAAAGTTTGTGGTTTGCCTATTATAGCCCAAATTAAGGAGATTGGTGCTGAAGGCTGCCAAAAATTAATGGATTTTTGACTAAATTTAAAATTCAAATAAGCGCTCCGATAAGAAATTTTAAATAGCGTATTGTAGGTGGAACTAACGAGAGAAGTTGCCAAATTAATGGGTACAAGTAATACATATATGGCTAGAATGGCGTTAGAAAGAAACCATTGCCACCAGTTATTTCCCTAAAAATCCAATACCATACCATACAGCTTATATCTTGCAAAATTTCGAGCCAAAGCTTGGCTACATACCTCTGTCTTCCATAACTAGCAATTAAACTCTTAATGGACTGAAATGCAAATTAGTCTAGGTTTCAATTAGATGTTTGGAATATTTGAGTTTTGATATCAATTTGGTCTGGGTAACCTTTAATTTGAATCAATCCATCTAATTTAAGCCTATTTTATTAGAAAGTGACACAAGGTATGTATGTATGAAGGGGAAACAAAAAATGTGTATGGCCCTTAACAGGGAAACAGGAGCTTAATGGACTGACCACAATACATTACTCGTCACGTTCACCTACCCGCACATATGGAACATCTGTTCTGTTGTGGTCATAGATATACGTCTGACTGGATGAGTGTGGCCAATAGTATTGTATTGTGATCAGCAGACCCGAAATGTTAGAAAGTACAAACATTGATTATTTGCATGGTTTTCAAATTCAGACTGGACCGCATGGTTGGACTAGAAAACCAGGAACCGGTCGTGATCAGTTCTATTTTATCTCAGAACTGTTATTTCATTAAAAATCGTTGATTTGGTCAGCAAATCAGTGATTCAGGCATTCAAACCGTCCAATGGTTTTGGCCATTTTTTATTTTTTTGTTAGAATGGGCCATCTATTGTGTTGGAACGGTTGGACCATTCAACCTAGGAACCGGACCCCTGACCGGTTCATTGTACGGTTCGATTTTAAAAACCTTGATTATTTGGGGGATGACTTCAACAGGAAAAAGCAGTCTAGATGAACTGGAGAAAAGGCAATGTTTGGAATCCATGTTGTTTCCTAAGAAGTGTTTTCTCAGAAAACAGTACTGCATAAAGCACATTGTTTTCTCAAAAAACATTTTCTCAGGTAGCAACAGTAGAAATTGGGAAGCCACAAAAAAGGGAGATTTCTCGTACCACACCTTTCCCAATTTCCACGGCATGATCTGAAAATTTCTTTCGGGAAAATGGCTAACCAAACAACAAGCATTTTCTCAGAAAACATATTTTTATTGTATTGTTGATGTGGCACAATTTCCTGAGAAAATAACATCGATCCCAAACACCTACAAAATTGTACATAGTAGGCTGGACTGCCTATCCAATGGGCCCATCTATACTGAACACTAGCGTGCTCAATCGTGATAGGCAGTCCACCGCAATGTGTATGATTTTGTCTTCAGCCAATTCGGGTTCAAAAGCAAGCTACAGTGTGTATAAAGCTTTTGTTTGTCATGTGATCATTTAAATTTCCAAAAGATACAATTCTTTCAATAAAACGCAAAAATGTTTTCTTTGGAGAAAAAACAAAAGGAAACCCCTATGTCTAATTGATTGGAAACTTCTATATAAACCAAATGGATGTTTGACAACATGGTTGGTGATGAGGAGAAATTTCGCCCTCCATTGACGTGACCTCAAAATTAGGGGTGTCTGTGAAAACCTCGGACACCTCATACTCGCCCTGGCGACCTCGCCACCACCTCAATAGACCGAATTGTGAATGACATGGCAACATCAGGTCGGCATAAGAAATAAGTGTCCTACTTCTATCGACTTGACCAGAATTTAGCTAGTGACCTACCTAACGTGCCGAGTGACCTCCGCCACGAGCGGGATACTGTCTTCGGATTTCTCGGGATCACGATGTCACGTTGGAAGAGCAAGTTATCATCTCACCCACTTCGAACGCGACTGGATAGACATTACCCGCTTACGCAGAGTCCATCTTTGGGCGTTGACCCACCTCCGAACCAGACGGGTCGGAGATCTCGGATTGGGAGCTGGCCTCTAGCTCCAATCGAAAAGTTGAGGCCCCAATATGGGAACCTCGCTGATCTCACGCCAAAGTCCCTTCCTTGGCCCAAGCAGAATAAGAGGACCGTCCCCCCCTTTCGACTCACTCAAGGACATGGCTAAAAGAAGGAAAAAGACTCACTAGCTTTTTGGAAAACAGAAATCGACCTTGCCCAATCGGATTTCACCTGCCAAATTGACAACAACCTCCCAGCAGAATCCATATTTCACCCGCCAAATAGACATTACCCGTTTATGCAGAGTCCATCTTTGGGCGTGAAACCGCCTCCGAACCAAATGGGCCGAAGATCTCGGATGCGCTTCACGAGCCTCACAACAGGTAGCGTATATAAAAGGATCCCCATTCACAAAAAAGGTACGTACAATTTAACTCTCTAAACACTAGCTTTTTTGCTTTCTTACAAACAATTATTAGTTCACCGACTTAAGCATCGAAGTGCCCACCCCAGGTCATGCAACCTGGACACTCTGATCACCTCTTTTTTATAGCTTGACAAGGTAACCCCTACTCAGTTCGGCATCCGAGCTGTCTACCAACGGGAAGCGTCAGATCACACACTATCAGTTGGTTTTATTTCTAAAAATAAAAAACAACTACCGCACAAAATTGTATTGTTTTTGCTAACAAAACCATGTTTTCGAAGCACCCCCCGCTCCTAGTATACAAAAAAGTTAGTGGTGGTTGGGGATTGAAGCAAACTGATTGGATATATGCGGCATTTCTTGCTAAACAAGGGGAGAGATTAATCAACTAACAAATTTTGTGGGTGGTTTTTTCGAAAGGCAAGCAAAATGGAACTGTCAATAACGAAGTAAGCGATCTTCTTGATTCTAGCAGACTTTATCAATATTGATATTGATATTGACAGGGATGGAAGCAGCTCTTGAAACTTCCTACATGCTGTATTTGAATTGGATAAGAGAGATCGTATTTACCATATCAATATTGATCCAACCCTGTCAAAGGATAAGGTGGTATAGAAGTGAACAAGAAGTGGTGACTTTACAACGAAGTCCGAATATAAAACCTTTCGAGAAGCCTTACTATCTAGCTCCTGCATTGGCAAATTATGGAAGATCAAAGCTACTCCCTACAAAATTCAACTTTTCCTTTGGTAATTTTTTTGGGAAGCAATTCCAACTAAATCTAGACTCTTCATAAAGAGAGTAGTGCAAGACTTTGACTCCCAAAATTATGAAGAAAACATCTCTATTTAATTCCACATTTGCTAGAGCAAATTGGTTGTAGGTTCAAGTAGGACCAACCCAAGCCCGAAAACATGATTAATGATGGATGTCATCCAAACATGGTGGAACGAGCTCAAGGAAGATAAAACAACAGATGAATATTTTTTGTCATGCTTAACAAGAACTCTATACTATTTGTGGGTAGAAAGGAACGTTGTGGTCTTTGAACAAAAGCAACCCTAGTTGCAACAAGTGTTACATCTCATTAACAAGAGTTTGAACTTCCCCATTGACCATGTTTCAGACCTAGTGCCTGTTTGGTAAGTCTTTTCCAGAAAATCTAATAGTTAAAATTCAGGGTAAGATTTTGTAAATAGATCTTGGAAAATCAAAGACTGTTTGGTTGAAATATTTTTCATA